ATCTCCTGACCTCGTGATCCGCCCGTCTCGGCCTCCCAAAGTGCTGGGATTACAGGCTTGAGCTCTTTATTATCTTATGAGGCAGTAACTTTCAACTTATCAGTATGGATTCATGCTTTCTTATTTTATTCAGTGGATTATAATCCATGGCTATCATTATTTATATTTTGGTGTTTAATGTGTTCCAAATTTGGCCAGTGGGAACCTCTTCAAGCTGGCTCCTGTGGCCTTTTGACATGCCCCTATCATTCTTTGAGCATTTCGTTTTTTGTTTTTTGTTTTTGAGACAGAGTCTCGCTCTGTCACCCAGGCTGGAGTGCAGTGGTGTGTTCATAGCTCACTGCAACCTTGAAATTCTGGGCTCAAGCAATCCTGCTGCCTCAGCCTCCCAAAGTGCTGGCATTACAGGCATGCACCACCACACCCAGCCCAATTTTCTATTTTAAAATAATTTTAGACTTAGAGAAAAATTGCAAAAAATAGTACAGAGTTCCTACTTACCCTTCACTCAGTTTTCCTTAATGTTAACATCTGGCACTACCATAGCATAATTATTGAAACCAGGAAATTAACACTGAGGCAGTACTATGGACTAACCAGCAGACCCTTTCGGGATTTTGCTGGCTTTCCTGGTAAGGTCTTTTTTCCAACCCCAGGATCTCACATTGCACTTGGTCTTTCCTTGTCCCCATGACCTGCCACTTGTGAACAAGACAACTCTCTCTTCATTTGTAGACTGCCCTCAGTTTAGGTTTGCCTGCTGCTTGCTCCTGGTTAGATTGAGGTGTTGCGAGAATACCACAGGCAAAATCAGGCCCCTTTTAGTGCATCATCAAGAGACAATGACTTATGGCCAGGCCTGGTGGCTCACGCCTGTAATCCCAGCACTTTTGGAGCTGAGTCAGGCAGATAACTTAAGGTCAGGAGTTCAAGACCAGCTTGGCCAACATGGGGAAACCCCGTCTCTACTAAAAATACAAAAATTAGCCGGGTTCGGTGGCGAGCGCCTATAATCCCGGATACTC